CATAAATTATTAGGCTTTAAGATAAAAATCATTTCACAGTGTGCTTTTCTGCAAAAATGGACAGCAAGCAGGTAAATATATTATTTTGAAAAATGAAGGATAGGGGTTGGGGATGTAGCTTAATCGGTAAAGTGCTTGCCCGCATGCACAAAGCCTTGAGTTCAATCCCTACCACCAGAATAAGATAAAATATAAATAACATCATGTTTAGAAAATAAGAATTAGCTCTGGAAATTAGATAGCAGTTTTTAATATAAAGTAGCCCTGGACAACCCCCAAAAGTATGCCATTTCTTTGCTCTTTTCTTTTAAAAGTATGATTTTAAATGATTTACACAAATGCATTTGGAGTTTTAGCATTTCTAGTCTTTCTGCACATTAGTTGGTTCTCAACTATTTCTTCCCACCAGGTCTGGAGGGGAGTCTGACCTGAGAAATACGGAGTCACCGGTACGCAATCTTGTCTTTGGCAGACTATGTACTTTTGATATGAATAAAACTATCCAGTTTGACTATCTTTCTCTAGATTTTATGTTTGTTCAAACAGGTCAATGGTGCTAATTAAACCTTTTTTGCCAGGACTTTAAAAAATGCATTTCTTAATGTCTCCAGTCCTAGTGCTAAAAATCTACATTAAAACATTTCTGAAAGAAACACATTTATTATCTTTAGATTGTTCAAAAATTATCAGTACAATATTGAACATGTTTCTGGCTAATAGAATTGTTCTGTGTTGGGGGGTATTTTCTTTACCACCTTCACTGTCACAGTGCTGGGAGGCTCTCCCAGAATTTCGGCTAGTTCAGAGTGGATATTTTTGATAACCTGCCACTTCTGGAGCCCACACAAGGCCATGCTAAGTTTTGAAAAATAATTTAGGGGAAACTCGCAGACAGTTTTAGGACTCTTGGTGTAAACTCCCATGGCACAGAGACAAGCGACGTTCTGTTTGGTGCAAGGGGCGAAAGTCAGAAGTGTTTACATGTGTATTCAGCCATGAAATTGAATATTATCAAAGTTGAAAAATGCAAATCAAATTAAAACCACAGAAAATTGTCTTTGGAATTAAAGTACCCGGGAGCCCCGGGAGTGTTTGCTTAAACTGAAGCATTATAAAAACGAAAAGCATCTAAATGGCCCGCTCACTGCTGTGACCCCCCGCCCCCATGAAACCTACTGTTTAATTCTACCAAGAAATATGTCTCTGCTGAAGTAGAAACTAGTCACATTTGGAGCTAATTACAGTAAAATGTCATATTTCTTAAAAATCAAATTGTTCCCCCTTTAACCACACGTCCCTAAACTCAGGACTGCTTTAGCACCCGCGTTCCGCCTTCTGAGCTGAACTCCAAGCTGCTGCTGCTAGCATCCTCGCTTGGACTCCTCTCCAGCAGCGGCGGCGGTCACTCAAGGGCGCGTTCAGGGTGCAGGGTAGGCGCGGGAAGCTACGGGGTAGCGCGCTGGTTCCCACGGCCCCGCCACTCGCGAGCACCTGGGCTGGGCGGAGGCCGGGGATCTGCGGAGCCCTGGAAGCTGCGGGGCAGGTGCCACCTCACCAAGCGCAGAAGGCAGAGATGCGCAAAGCCGGGAGAGCTCCGAAGGTCGGGTGGAGCGCTTCTCTGGCAATTCTCACGGCCCGCCTTAGGACCCGGAAGGGCGGAAAAGAGAAATAAATGCCTGTTAAGTGTCATTTAGGGAAAAATAAATAAAAGAGCTAACTCAGCACGAGGCAGGGGAGCGTCGGGTAACCATTTCCGCTATCATCCAAGTTTTAGAGCGCGGGAATCCACCCTAGACAGCCAACCCAGCTGGGTCGGACCTATCTCGTTGCAGCGACAGTGGGCGCGACACTTTTCACTCCTTTCCCGCCCCTCCCCCACCTCCTTCCAGTCCCGGAGAAAAGCCTTTTTTTTTTTTTTTTTTTTTTTTTTCATCAGGTGCCAAGGTCGGCTGCTTTCGGAGACATCCAGGGCACAGCGCTGCTTCGGGCAGTGCTCACTGGGAGAACAGCCTAGGGTCAAGGGTGGGGTTTGAGCCCAGACTCCAGCAGCCACACCCACCCCACCCGTCCTAACCGTGTATGCGGGGGACCCTAGCAGTGGCTGGACTGCGCTAACGTGGGGTAGGACAAACTTCATGTCATTTGGTGACCTCTAAGGACTTTCGTTTCACACCTTCAACCTGTACTTTCTTGGTGTCCAAACCTGTCCACCCTCTCCGGGCCCCTGCATCTTGGGCTCGGACGGGTGATTAAGAATGTCACTCTCAGTTTTCCACCTCTGGGGAGAAAGACAGTGTCTTTCCTCTCTCCTGCCTCCAAAACCCTAGTGGAGTGAGGGGCAACCCTTGTTCCAGAGCAGTAACGCCTGTCCAACCAGCTCTGATGGAGAGTGTGGGCTGCGGTGAACACCGATTGACGCTCTTATTTCCTTTCTAGGAACCCCAGGGGTGCAGACCGGTTCCGCTGCGACTGAGAAGATAGCCCTGAGGCTCCGGGGCAGATCCTGTAAGTTTACAGCTTGGGAGATTCATGAGCCTTTTCCAGAGAGGTGCGCGGGAGAGTGCATGTTTGTTGTTTTCAAAATCAAGCAAAGGAAACAACCAATTAAAATGAAATATTTTCAGTTCCCCCGTATATTGTCAGTGATTTGCCCCCGGGGATCCACAATTTTCCCAAGCCTGTTAACGGGTGACGATGAATGAGTGTCTCTGTAATTTAATTTTCCTGTCACACTAAATAGAGCTACATTGTAAACCTTAGATCTACTCTTACTGATAGGATCGCCTTGTTTTTCCATTTACACCATAAAGACCCCCAAAAGGGACACTGTATTGTGACCTCCACTCTTGAATTATTCAAGAACTTAATGACATTTTCCATTTTAAAAAGGGAACTAATTGCCATTGATGCGAAACATGTGACCTTCTCCGGGTGCCCAGTATGAGAATGTTGCCATCTGTACGACATAGAACCACAAAGCAGCAAGAACAGAGGAAAAAGTAAGCAAGGTGGACTCAAAATGGACTCTAAAATCACCTGTGTTTTTTAATCCCACTTAAGTCAGAACATAAGGTCCATGCATTCTATTTACCTGACCTAAAATCTGTGTCAAATGTGTCATCAGTCGGGTCTCTTTTTGCAGACCTGAGGTGACTTTTTAGTCAGACAGAAACAGTTATGGTTTTGAAATCAAGCATCACTTGGTAAATGTGAAATTACTTCCTGTGATGTCAAGCAAAACACTGAGCAGTCTACCTCCATCTTTGTTGGCTTTCTTACTTATTTCCTGGAAGGGAAAAAGAAATTTAGAACGTGAAAGAACTGAACCTCCATATTTGCTGTTTGAATTCAGGTTGCTGTTCTTCATTCACACACTTCTCTTTTAATTATTGAAAATGGATGCTTTCTCTCTCTCTCTCTCTCTCTCTCTCTCTCCTTAAAAAAAGGCTCCTCCTGCTTTTCCTATGGTGTTTCTACTTTTTCTCTAGTTCTTAGGAAAGCAGAAGAGGAGAAAGGGAATTTCAGCCATGTCCATTGGCTTCATAAATTCACATATCGCCTACAAAGATTCTCTAATGCCCTCCCTCATGTATCTGAGCTGGTCTACAGTCACTAGGACCATTTGAAAACTGGGGGGGGGGGGGGCAAAGCACCCCCCCCCCCCAAATTCTTCCCGGAACTTTTAAGTGATGCTTGAGATGGTGCCTGGAGATTTTGTAGAGAACCAGAGTACCTTTTAAATCAACTCCCCTGGCTTAGCAGAGGGCTAAATATCCTGGATGGGCTGTGAGTCCATGCCTCTCTCTATCTCACAGAATTTTGGGAAAAGGGAATGAAATATTACAGGAATATTATCCTGTAGTAACATATCTGATGCAGTTGCTGAGGAGGCAGCTTGGAGTAAGCTACAAAGTAACAACTGGCTCAGCAGCTGGGGAAGTCCATTAAATGCTATTTTAAAGAGGATCGCCATAAAATGGTTACTACCTGAGCTACATAATAGAGCAACTGTTTCATATTTGCTTGAAAGAAATCTGTTCTCCTCTTGGTGATATGTGCTTTTATATTCAGTATTAAGACAGTAGAAACGGATTAAGGATATATAAGTTCTGTTCATTTTGTTTTTCTTTTCCTGGTGCTGGGGCTAGAACTCAGGCCTTGTACCTGCCAGCTAGGCACAGGCTGTTACTGAGCCACATTCCCTGGCCTAGGAAGCACAGTTAATACTATTAAATAATAAGGACATTCTAAGAGAATAATAAAATGTGATGAAAGCAACAATTTTTGAGCCAAATGTTAATTTCTTTTTAGAGATTTTCTCCATTTATTTCCATGCTTAAAAACTTTTAAAAGGTTGATGTAGACTGTAAGATTAGAATAAATTGTCTATGTCTCTCATACCTGACCTTTCTTGCATTCTTTAGTAATATTATCTATTAATTTTATCCATGGTGATAGTATGCTATCAAAATAAACACTTCATTCACATTTTAGGCTGTCACCATGGGATAAAATACAGGATATATTTTTCTTTCTTAAAAAACAACTTTCTTGATTTAGGGCCATTTGAAGGGCACTTTAAGCACTGTGGAAAGTTCTAAGCATCTTCAGGATGCTGGGATGCTCTCCTCTGGCTCCACAGTTCTAGAACTCACTGTGTCCTGAACAGGTATTGATGTTGACATTTCCAAGAGCCAGGTCAGGGGATTTCATCATCACTGAGTATATGTATGGAGTTTAACTTAACCCATCCAATCTCTACCGCCTATCCTCCAATAGAAACCATCTTTGGAAAGCATTTCCATTTGGCTGTTATGAAAGGGTTAAACTAGATGCCTCTCCCACAAGGCAGAGAGGACCATCCAATTCTCCATCTGTGAAATGGACCTCTTCTCCACCAAACTTAGTGTAAAGGGATTCCCTCCTGGGTTTCGCTGTTGAAGGAACCACATTTTAGCACACTTGTATTTGGGATTGCTGGAAGTCAAGAGTATTCTGCATTTTGGTTGCTTTTTAAAATGATAAGCATATAAGGGAAAGGATGAATGAGGCCACTACTGCGGGAAAAATAATTTATCTTAAACACCAAGGCAGATACACTATCAGGCTGGCTGGCATTTATTCACAGATAATTTCTTCCATTTCCCAGATTCTAATGGGCTCCACAAGTTGCAGTATGCAAACAGGGGGGCATTTTGTCTTCATCCATACTTTGATCTCAGCCAAGAAGGCCAGTGCTTTCAGCCTTACTTCTGAGGTTCTGCCTTCTGCATTGTCTCCTTTAGGTAGTAGAGCTGCTAATGCATGTTTTTAAAAAATCCTAGGGCTAGCAAAGTCAACAGCAACTTTCTGCTGTATTTCATTGAATGTCCACACTTTCACAAATTAAGCATGGATTATGTTACAACTCTGTGTCAGGATTAGATGTGGAGCGTTTTCCCGACAGAAGAATCACTCTGCAATGACAACTTCCAGGCTGAGCAAATTTCACTGTGGAAATGGGAATACCCTGTTCATTTTAGTGCATTCTTTTTCTTCATGGAAATCAGGGGGATAGGAAACCTCTGAAAGATTTGCTTTATGTTAGATGAAACTCCTGTGTTATTTTGTTGGTTCTCTTAGATGATTTCAGTAACTCATTCAGATGTGGATAAAAGTACCCTGAGCTCATCAAGGCTGGATACTTCAGGATAGAAGGCATCATCACTTTAGTGAATTTCAGGAGCTTTTCACATACTGTCAGGAAGTGTCTTCCTTTTCACACAATTCCAACAACAATGTAACTGTTTCAGTTACATTATTTCCTGTTTGTTTTTGAAGACAACTTCTCATTTTGTATTTCAGGCTGGCCTAAAATGTACTAAAGCCCAGGCTAGCCTCAAGTTTGCCATCTTCCTGCCTCAACCTCCTGAGTACTAAGATTATAGCTACATGCTACTACTATAGGCCCTTCTTAGCTGTGTGCTTATGTTTTCTCTAGATTTGCTTATTCTCAACTACTGACACAAAAAGATGAGCCAGAGAAAGGACATTGGTAAGTTTGTTTGCTAAGAGCATCATGTGACTGAGGAAGCTTCTCATGCTGAACTTTGACCCTCACAAGAATGTTTCCAAAGGCCATGACACTGTGTCAGACAGCCCCAAATACCTTCCTCAGTGTTTAATGCATATAGAGGAAGGAATGAGATAAAACCAGTTGGCTCATAGAAATGTGGTGGTAGGCCTGCTCCAAGTGTATGCCATGCTATTGCAAATACTGAGGACTCAGAGGGTTAGGGAAGCGTTCACAGGAGCAGCAAGAGTTGCAGAATTAGGCCCAAAGAGCAGAGAAACAGCTGTGCAAAATCAGCAAAGGAAAGATCCTAAAAATACAGAAGCTCTGATCTGCCTTGCCTAGAGATCCAAAGTCATACAGGTAGTCATTCAACCTCTGCCCAGAGTTACTAAATCTTATGAGGAATAAACAGCGATGTGTAGCTCATTATTAGACATTCTTATTCTAAGACCCACAGTCTGTTTTAAGAGATGAGTGTTTTTCAATGGCCAGAAAATTTCTGCCAGCCCAAGAGTGAATGTTTGGGATGAAAGGTAGCTGGTTACCCATACCTGCAGGCCTTTTTTTTTGTTGTTGGGCTGACAATGTTGGAATTGAATCCATGCTTTTCAGAAAGGTGGATAGAGACCAGAGTAGAAACACGACCCGCAAGATGTCCTTGGAAGGACGGGTCAGGCTGCTTTCCCTAAAGAGCCCCTAAACCCAGCAGGGCTTCCCAACAAGGCTACACTCAACTACATCCTGCATCTGCTTGTGGACGCTGCACCCATGGTGATGTTTTTTATGGCATTGCAAATATGGAGAGAGTTTTACTGTTTCTGATTCCCAGGTGATGAAAGACATACAGAGAATGAAACCCAACCTGCTTAAAATAAAACACATCAATTCCAAGGAGCAGGAGGCCCCTTCCCCTTCCTTTCTGAAGGTCTTTACAAGCTGGGCCATTTGCTGCATGGGGGTTTGTATAATAATGTGATTTTTCAGGGTGCTTTGTCTCTGTGGAGAAGGATTCCAGAGGCTCTTGAAGTCCTTAGCCTTAAATCCATATTAATAGGGGAAGTCTGTTTTTTCCCCTCAGGGAGATTTGGTTGGGAGAAAACTGACCCTGACTACACGTGGGGCAAACTAGGGTAAAAGACCTGATATGGTCTGCAGGGTACTTATTAACCACCGTTCATTTGTGAGATCGATATTTCAAGCAATGGAGTCAACGCTGAAGGCACACCACATTGTCTGGCTCTTTCCTTGACACAACAATTTATTTAATAAATGCATCTCCAGGAGAAGAAGAAGGAGCACCAGGCACTGTGTCTTTTATCTCCAGGATATGCAAAGCGCATTTATTTTCAGCTTTTATCTCTGGAATTGTATGTTGATCCCATACATATAGATTGATTTTGTTCAGGTAGATAATGAAAAGTCAAGTGGAAAATTACACAATGGCACTCAGGATCCTGGTCTTATATCGGTATATAAATTGGTTTATTATTTCATTCTATTAAAGGGGCTCTCCCCTCCCCAGGAAAACTTCAAAACGCATTGTATTGTCTGTCTGCCTGGATTTTGTCTGGGAGGACAGGTAGGAGAAGCATTTTTTCATCCCCCCATTTCTTTGCTTATTGTTAAGTGAGTGACACCCAAGGGTATCCTGGGGGCTCTCTGCTCCCCACCGCTCACTTCAGGGCAAAGTCCATGGCTCCTGTGACTCAGATCTTTCTGAATGGGAACAAAACCGTCTCACATGGGCATCCAGTCACAGAGGCAGATTTTTTTTTTTCACTAAAGGCAATTTAAAATTTTTGACCTGGTGACTGAAAGTGGACGCTCTCTCTGGAGTGTGGGGGGTGGCCAAGGGTGAGATGGTGGCAGCGGGAAAGGCCACCACCCAGGGACAGCTTGAAGCCAGAATTCTGGAGGAAACATTATTAATAAACATCTTCTGGACATTTGGCAGCCCATGGAGCTTGCTCCAGCTTAAAGCAATTAATTCAGGACACCGACATCAACTCTCCAGGTCTTTGACAGCTTGGAGCCGAAATAAAAATGCTAGTTCTCCGGGGAAGAGAGGAGGAGGGCTGGCTCTTTGCTGGACTGTTTGCTTATGGGCCCAGCGAGCAACCTTCCCCGCAGAATGAAATGCAAGGTCGCAAACAACGTACCGGCAGAGAATAGAAGATGGGAACGAACAGTTTGAACTATTTGCTCAGCAGAAGCACCACAATGCTGGGGTACTGGCTTTCCCATGCATCCACTGTCCCTTCTCTGGGGTCTTTTGTTGTCCCTGTCTCCTTTGGCCATCTCCTGCTAAGATAAGAACACAGCTGCAGCCTCGCAGCTAAGTAAGGCTGCACTTATCCCCCTAAATCTCGGGGTGCCTTTACTGTACCGGGTAAAGAGCGGCTCTTTCATTTGTCAAGGGGCTGGGGAGGGAGGGAACAGGACTGAGGGGGAGGGGACAGAGGGCTCCACGCTCATGTCTGCTTCATGCTTTTCTTCCTCTCTTTTTGAAATACAAGCTGGGATAAGATGTGATCTTTGTGGGTTAGTTTTATTAAAGGGTTGGTGTTTTGTGCCCAAATGCTGCCTTTTAGGAGGAGAGGGTGTATCTGTGTAATGTAGGGAAGAGGGATTTGGAAGCTAAGTTTTTGGTTTAAATAATCGTACTCAGCTGCTAAAAAGGGGAATCATTTGGAGGAGTCGATTTATAAACTGTTCACTTGCAATTCCCTACTAATGAAAATCCATTTTGGACCTCTTTTCCTACATTTAATATGTCCAGAATTGTGTAGAGAGAGTTGTAATCAGGCTAGGAAGAGGATGAACTGGAGACAGGACATAAATATATTTTTTAACTTGCTGTGAATGACACTTATTATCAGAGTAAATTTCATCTAAAACATGATCGGCACACTTTCTTATACCCATCCTTTTAAAATTAGAGCTTGTTTTAAATATCACCAGAGAGATCGGACTTAACTAAGCCTAAGGTGTAGTTTATATCGAAGTTATTTTTTTTTTCAGCTATTTAAAAGTCAAAGTTGAATTGAGTTTTTGCACTTTTGGATGTGTGTTCCAGCTCAGTGGGTTTTGGCCACTAGTTGGTTTGGGGAGCTAGGCTCCAATGCTTAAGTCTATTGTAATAAGGTTGATTTACCCTGAATGGTTTTACAAGGTGAAAAGGCAAAAAAGTTTAACAGCAAAGAAAGTGAATGGTTTACTCTGAGTACATTGAACATTCACAGCCTGAAGCCCACCTGCGGGAAGTAAGTTTCAGTGCTGTGTATGTACACATGCCTGCCTGTGTTTTTCTCACTGACAACTGGTGGGGTAAACCTCTTCCACGTATTTTTCCTGCTGGGTGGTCAGAAGGAAAGGCCAGGAAGCCAAAGGCCTCCCATTGAGACACTGCTGTGTAAGAGGGGACCTCACGTGGAGCTGCGGGGCACCTGTTCATCTCTGCTCACTGTGGGGGTGAACTGTGAGCAGGGCTCCCCTACAGGGAAACTGCCACCCACGACATGTTCACCTCACACTTAAGTCAGTCTCTAAAACATCCACAGACTGTTATTCACCAAGGTTGGGAAGTGATTTTGACATACCAGTGAATAGTGTGTGTGTGTGTGTGTGTGTGTGTGTGTTCCAGCCTATGTGTGGTGCAGGGAGAGGGGAAGGGACATGGAAATGTTCGATGACACTATGAAAGGGTCTAAATAAAAATTCCTACTAAATGGCATATTTTGCTCTGATTTTGTATTCACGTGTAGGGATGGAAGAAAGCGTCTTTTAAAAATAAGGATTGAGGGACTGGAGAGATGGCTCAGCTGCTCTTGCAGAGGACCCTGGTTCAATTCCCAGCACCCACGTGGCAGCTAACAACCATCCATTACTCCAGTTCCAGGGGATCTGACACCCTCTTCTGACCTCTGTGGGCCTTGCACAACGTGGGTGCACTTATGTACATGCAGGTAATACACTCATACACATAAAATAAAAATTAATGAATAAATTTTTTTTTATAAAAAGGATTGATACATTTGTAAGCCCTGTCCAGATTATTCCGCCTTTCTTCTGCAAACAGACACTTAAAATTGTTGTATTCAGTACTGAGAAATTCATATCCTATAATGAAGAAACAAGCTTTTAGTTTTTCCTGATTCGATGTATCTCCATCTCGGTGAGAACCGAGGCTGAAATGGGAATTATAGTCAGCTGGGATAGACATATTCATTTTCTCTCTCTAATTCTGGCCCAGGGAATTTTTTCAGTGTGGCTTTGTTTTGTTTAGTTTTTATTTTGAGACAGGGTCTCCTTTGTAGCCCCAGCTGGCCTGAAGCTCATTATGTGGACCAGGCTGGCCTCCATCTCACAGAGATCCACCTGCCTCTGCCTCCAGCATACTGGGATTAAAGGCCTGTGCCACCAGGCCCAGCTGCCAGTGTGGCACTTCAAGTGTATCTGAAATCACGCTGAATCATGATAGGTAACCTAAGAAACAGGTAGGAGTCTTCTATTAAAAGATTTCCTCCTCTTGAGCCTATGACTTTCCACAAGATGGGAACTGGGGTTTTATATCCAGTTTCTGGGCTAGTACACAGCTGCACGTGGGGGGCCTCTGAGGGAGGAGCAGCACTGTGGGAAGGGCAAATGAACAAATAATGAATCGATTAAGAGACTGTGGTCAAATGCTAGGAACAAGTGATACTGATCTTATATGTAAGGGGCCTGGACATCACACCAGCTAGCTGCCACAGGGTTTGATTAATGAGGCATTAAGGAGATCGAGTGACACTTACAGCTAGTTACTTATGGTGCTAATTTCAAAACACTTTGCAATAGACAAAGAGACTCTGCTCATAATGCAAAGTAATTTGTGGTGTGTTTCTGGCGAATGCATTTAGCGAAGCAAATATAGTTATGCGGAATTTAAATTAAGGTTGACACTAATGTAAACAGAGCCCAAGAACCACTGTCCAATAATTTGATGAGGACACAGGTTTTAATCAAGCCTCTTCTACTAAAATAGCAATTTAAATCCCCATCGTTTAAACTGGATAAAATGATTAAGCTGGGAAAGTTGGAGGGGGGGAGAAATAAAATTTTACTGGGAAAAAAAATTTAAAAATCCACAATATCTCTTGGGGAAGGACTGACTACTACCTTGACCCAGAGGAGGAGGAGACAGACGCTTGTCCCTGTAAATACCGGTTGATTTCAAGGCCAGAGTCTGGGTGTTTGATCACATTTTTCCGAGTAGCTTTTCAGCTGTTGTGAAGTTGGGGTTGGATAATTCTGGTAGTGTTGATCTGTGAATTAAACTGCTCCTGATAACAAGAAAGTGGGGACTCTAAGTGGAATCTGAAGTTCCAGAGCCTTTGTTTATTTATTAATAGGAGAACTCCTCCTGCTCCTAACACATTCCTATTTGAACTGAAAAATGCCCTGTCGACTGGGAGAGTGGGGGAGGGGCAGGCTTAGAGACCCAGGCCAGTCATCCCCAGGGGTTGGCTTTTCCAAGGGGCACCCACATTCACACATGGCTTTGTCTGGAGTTGCCAATTTATCTCCCTTGCTCAGAGTCACTGGGGGAGGGGGAGGCTCAGCCAGCATTACCATTAATTAAAATGCCAGCAGCCTGGGTTCCAGGGCCTAGGCGGTTTTGTATATGGGAAACAAAACCAAACAAAATAGCAATTTATTCTGTCACTGCTCTTGCAAGAAAAAACAAGTGACAGTTTGGCAACATTTCCTAAGGCCCCTGGACTTGACTGCTGGCAGAGGAGTGGGAGGCAGGGGGTCTTCAGTTCTCCAAATCTCACTCATGATGTGTTTTCTTGGGAAAGGAATTTCTTCAGTGAAGTGTGCCTCTATACTTATTCAGAAGAAAGGACCCCAAAATAGCTTTTGGGGGAGACTAATGCTTTGCATATAAACTATTCTGAAAAAGCTTCCAGAGGCCCTATTCATGGCCACCCAACTTCAGGACAGTTGTGGGGTAACTGGAGACAGTTTACCTTTGGGGGTGAAGGAGGAATCTGAGTAGTGTGAGCAGTCAGATTCCTATGGCCACCAAGCAGGAGGGAATGGCAGGGTCAGGCAAGTCGATAGTATTTGTGTCTTCTTCTCTAGTTCAGCCCTACAGGGGATGATGCCTTTGAGGAAGTTCTCTCCAGGAACTTCCATGTGCTGAGCCACCACTCCAAACTCCCTCCCTGTAAAAATGTAAAGGAAGAAAAGGATCTTTGGTGAAGTCTCTCTGAAGTTCCCGGGAGTTGGAGGATCACAGCTTGGAGGAGAGCAGTTCTTAGTGAGTCTGTGCAGGTCTCAGTGCTGCTGGAAAACTCTGCCTGGAACATCCGGCCTTACTGTCAGAGGGGAGAGAACTGCCTAGAGGTGCCTTGGGAGAGCATGGCCAACTTTTCCTTTGTTCTAGGCCTGGAGTAAGGAGGGAAGGGAGGATCCCAGGCTGTCTTGCAGAGGAATTATCTTTGTATGCAAAGATAATTCCATACAATTTGAACAATCTATTGGGCAATGATTCTGGGAGCCTCTGGTTTTAGGATGAGTCCGGCTCTTCTTTGGTGGCAACACACATTCCCTCCTCTCATCCTCAGGATAAAAGATAACAATTCCAGCCAGGCATGGTAGTACACACTTTTAATCCCAGCACTCGGGAGACAGAGGCAGGCGGATCTCTGTGAGTTCAAGGCCAGCCTGGTCTACATAGTGAGTTCCAGGCCAGCTGGGGCTACAGGGAGACCCTGTCTCAAAAAGTCCAAAAAAAAAAAAAAAAAAAAAAAGATAATTCCATAGACTGTTGTGGAACAAAGCTTTTTTTCTCAAAGTGTCCTGGAAAATGACTGATGCTGGCATCTTGGACTCATTTCTTACTGTGGAAACCTGGGTGGAACAGGGTGTGAGCAAGGCCAAGGGCAGTCAGCAGCCAACTTGTGGAACTAACCAGAAAGGCTTGGGTACTTGACTGTCCTGTGAGAAGAATCGGAACCTGTTTCTCCTGCCCTACTTCTGGATTTAGAATCTCAGTAAAAAATCCCCATGTCAACCAAGTTGCTATGGGGTTTTATGATTATCTGAAGAATTTGTCTCAAGTGGGACTCAAGGGTCATCAGCCGCAGGTGCTAAGATCCCAATCTGCACACCTGCCTTTCTCGGTTCAGAGTACCTCACCCTCATCTCTCCCTTCCGGGCTCTACTTTGCAAATGTCCCCTTCTCAGGCGCAAAGCTGGTTTTCTTGTAAGTTCCATGGTCCTTTGCCATGTAGCTCTGGGCTCACAGACCTCCATAGAGATTGTCTTATATAGGGCACAGGGGACTGAGTTCTCCATGTCAGCTTTAAAGCACTCTCTGTTCATATGAAAGAAACTGTCAGCCCTCT